ATTCCCTCATGCATGAATGATTTTTCAAAAAGTTATACCAGTTCACGGAGGTCAAACACCTGCCCAAATTAAAAGTTCATCCTATTAATGATTTTCTCCTAGCCTTAGCTAACCAATTAGCTTATCATGCGACTCCAGCTTGAAAAAAGCACAAAAAGCTTTCCCTTAATAAGTTTTAATGTTCCGGAACGACTCCCCGTTTCGTCATAATGTTCAGTGGCGTGGCGTGCTTTGCGATATATCGGTTGATCTGCCATTCAAACTTATGGAGAGGGATCTATAAATAAGGCGTTCGCAACGAACACCTTAATAATCGATCTTTTACCGAAGCTTCAAATGGGGAAATATCGATTATTGGCTTCTACACGCCTCACCACCATGCACCGTCTAGCACTTAATCAACCCGAGAAAGTCTTATATTTTTTCGGTGATGGAAAAATAAAGTCGTTTTTTCCACTTTATGATTGTTACTTTTAAAACCCGATCAAATGCAGGTTTTAATATTTACTGCATACATTGTTCAACATAGTTTTGTGGATATATGCGCCCATGAAATTACATCATATCCGTTCTGTTACAAATAATATTTATCCAACGAATTTCTCACTGCTCATGCAAATTGTGAATGGGCCTGTTGCAAATTTTTGCTAGAGCAAAACTAAGAGTTGTTCCTTACAGATAATGCTTCAAAAATCACGATGAGCGCATCGGCAAAGTCTGAAATGCACTCATAACTTCACAATCTGCCCAAGAAATTTGCGGTTTTTTGAGCTTCCCGCTTCGAAAACGATACTACGGTACAGGTGAACATTTTGTTAGAGGAGTCGTTCCATTGGCGGCAATACTCATCATGGCCGACGCCAGTCCGCCGAAACACCTGTGATGGGACGAGATAACATCTGAACAGGATTAAACCAGATAACAATCGGCGTGTTTACGTTTATATTTTCCTCGCCCGCCTTAATTGATCTTGAACTCTCCTCGAATTACTCGCGGAACTGCGCAAGCGTCGGCCATTATGAATATTGCCGACGATGGAGGGACTCATCTAACAAAATGTTCACCTGTGCAGTAGTATCGTTTTTGAAGCGGGAAGCTCAAAATAACGCAAATTTCTTACGCAGATTGTGAATATATGAGTGCATTTCAGACTTTGCCGATGCGCTCATCGTGATTTTTGAGGCATCATCTATAGGAAACAACTCTTCATTCTGCTCTAGCAAAAGTTTGCAACAGGCCCATTCTACAATCCTCAAATGTATCATGTGATACTACAAACATTTTTCTCTCTTTGAAATTCATATTGTTTTGATTTATTCTAACCTGTAATTCAAACATCATGGATCCTTTGCGATAACAGTTGACCTTGATGTCATGAGTGTTTTCATCGTTAACCAACTTGAAAAATGTGATCGAATTTTTGCCTACTGCTAGGAATGGTATATTTTGTTTTGTTTCATATTATTCTTTTACCTTAGAGTCTGTGAGTCCCGGGACTCCCGGGTTATTCAGTCAAAAATGTTGAAAAAGAATATTTTGTTCTCTTGTACGTCGGCTCTTTTTTCGCGATCTGAGACACCCACATTTTTCAGATCCAATTTCATATTTTCTCAATTGCGCTTTAAGATTTGTTTTCGTGTTTTCGTGACTTTTCCGAGGCCGGACGAAAACAAACACAACTTTTCATGACGTCAAACACGCGCCCAAAACAAATTAACCATATCCACCGTAATCAGCCCGTGTTTTTCTCAACTATTTCGGCGCTCATCAAAATAGACGCGTCTATTAATAGAGGAGTGGACCAATGCCTGGAGAATATCTTGTGGAAATTAAGAATTTTAAACGAGTTATAGTTGTTTGTTTTACTAAAGAGGCTCGCCTGAAATGTTCTTAGAGATGATCCGTGGTGAGGGAAGGGGGAGGGGGTCAAATAAAACAGTTGAAGCGGAACTTCGACCTTGAGCTTGTAATAGATCAAATCCAGGTTCGCTCTCGTGCGAGGGGAATGAACCCGGACAGTTTCTCTAAAAAAGATGAATTGGACGGACGAAACGGACCTATGCGAAGTGTGGCTTGATTACACTGAGAAAAAAAAGTTCGGTCGCATGAACTAAAGTTCGCTGATCCATACTATCCCAACTAATTCGGTTTGTCAAAATGAACTTTCGGTTCGTGTGACTAAACTTTAACGGTAAACTGAACTGACGAACAAAGTTCGATCATATGCCCGAGTGTCCGGTTATACGAACCGAAAGTTCAGTTTGACAAACCGAATAGTTGGGATGATATGGATCACCGAACGTTCGATACATACGTCCGAACTTTTTTCACTGTACACTTACGAGTATAGGTTCGATACACTGAAGAAAGACCGCAAGACCAAAGACATTGCGCAAGACGCCCCGGTCTATGAACCGTAAGTGGCTTTAGTGCGGTATTACACATCGGCCGGACTATAAGGTGTGTGTAACTGAATTTTCGGCTCTAGGAACCATACGCTCGATTATTATTGCGACCTAGTTTCCAACCCAGACGGAATTATGAAACAATTTCGGTTGCAGTAACCGAACAGAGCTCGCTTGCAGCGGCCGTTTTGAAGTGTGCTGTGCGCAAGGCTCGGCAAAATATTGACGGTACACTGAAAAAAAAATCTCGCTATATTTACTAAGAAAAGGGTAAAATTACCAAGAATTCAGGGTTCTATTTGATCCCAGTTTTTCCTCGGTAGAATTACCATTTATGGAATTGGTAATTTTACCCAGAAATCTCGGTAAAATTATTGAACTTTCTCAGTAATTTTACTGGACCTTGGTAAAAACGCCAATATTTTTTATCAACTATGGTAGAATTACTAAGATAAAATGGCAAGGTTACCAGGAATTGATTACCAATAAAAGTGGTATTCTTACCTGAATAAAACAGTAAAAATACCGGTTTTCAGGTAAGCTTACCACTCTGTCTTAGTAAAATTACCAATAATTGGTAAAAAAAGTGAGATGGTAAAGGTACCAACGGACCTTAGTAAAAAGGCCGAGAATTTTTTTCAGTGTAATGTTGCAAAAACGCGAGTATCAATTGCGGCGATTCCAAATCCTCACTCTTATTTTATTTCTTTCAAAGGAGACCAAACCAACAGCATGACTTGAAATTTTAACAAAATACTCCTCACGCGCAGGCGAAAAATTACAGAAGTTTTAAAAAAATAACGTTGATTAGTTTTCTACGTAGAAACTCAACTATGTCAGGAAGTCTGCAACGCCGAACAATGGAGCGAGTCAATGGGGGAAGTCGGACAAAATTCTGAAACTTTAAAAGCCCATAACATCCGTTTATACAAAACTTTGGGGTTTTAAAAGTGGCTCCATTGGTTTCCTCGTGAAATTATCTTCACTGAGCACCCATTGAAAATTAAAATGTAACGAAGTAAACATCAAAATTTTCGGTTTTAGTCAACAAATTCATTTCCGACCTCTCCCGAAGGCTTGGTCCACTGTGCGCCGCGAAGCGAGTCAGGCGCTTCTGCAGTTTTACCGTCGACATGTTTACACGGAAGAAGCTGCACTTGCCCGAGCTCGAGGTGGGTCCTCGCACACTGACATTGATCACCTTGAACGCGATCAATGCCACTCGGACCGAGTTTAAAATTAGGCTAATCGCCCTGTCAGATCACGTTTTCAACGATGAAATAAATAGCTCAAACCGGGCAAATTTGATCGCATTTCCAGGGATTTTCCGCGCTTGCGTCGGAGAAGATCATCATAACCAACACCAAACGTTACTCGTTTACTGTAAACAAGCTCAAAACGGAACCAGCTGCCTTCATTCTTCCGCCTTGGGATTAACTAGAGTACTTGTATACGGGAGAGTATTGTCATCTCAATACTTTTACTACAGAAAACCTACAGGCACCTACGAACACGAGGAATTCCTGCATACTTTGATAAAATCACATAATCATGATTTTTTTTTTTACTTTAAAATAAATGAACTGCAAGCACTCTGCTCCTGAGTCACACACATTGCCTATTTTAGCTATAGTATTGAAGGCAAACCGATTGGAATGAGTGTGGAATGGTGCACTCTCGATAGATAGTCATTTGATACAATGTTTCATGTGAATGAACGTGGCTACATTACTATGAGCAACTATTACTGCTCCTAAGCCACGCACATTGCCTACTTTAGTACTGAAGGCGAACTGGTCACCATGAGTGCACAATGATGCACTGTTGATTGCTGTCCACCAGCACAGTTATTTTCAAAGCCCTGCGTTTTGTTTGATGCGATGAGAACCATCAAATAAACTGTCTATTTACAACAGAAATATTAGTCTGTAAATTATGAAACAGAATTTCAACAGATTGCTCAAACATTAGACGTTAGGTCTCGTTCATGTTCGCACCGTACGAAAAATTTAACCGCGTGTGCAAGTGCAAAAAAAGGAAAATTATCTCCTTAAATTATGTCTCATGCTTTATGCTTCGAAGACTATGATTATGAAAATAGGAGGTTAGGAGAGTACAATGATTAAATTGTTTCTCCTTTTGTCTCAACTGATTTGGATAAAAAATGAAACCTTGCTAAAATCGAAAATTGCACCGCATGAAGGAAACAGGAGTCGGGTGACCAATCCCGATATCTCTGAACATTTTTCATTTCCTACTCAGTCTTTATTCTTTCAAAACTTCAGCTCATTATTTGCTTGCTAAGAGAAACAAGTGTTCTGTCGTGCTGAGGAAAAACGCCGTATGAACAATCGAGAGTTGCCAAATTCCCCCGGATAAAACATGTATTTCGGAAGAAAATTATGCACATTTTTAATTAAAATTTTCAGATATTTTAGATCAAATTGCGAACAAAATTTTCAGGAAAATTTGAAGCAAGACATTTAAAACTTCCTCAATAAATTAGTTTTGTATCAAGGAAATTTGGCAACACCTCAAGGTTTATACGGCGTTTTCCCTTAGCTTGGCAGTATTCGCAAGTGTTACAATTCTAAAGCTGGTTAGTTCCTCGTTTGCGTCCTGTTTGAAATGAGCCTATTGACTTTCTTTCTTATGTGGTTTGATAATAATCAACGCCGTTCCGGAAATTATACCCACCAGTTTAGTCGCACGTTTTGAGGTCGATTTTTAAAATGCCGGTAAGCTATCTTCAGCTGTTTACAAAAAATGAGGGCGGTAGGTTTATTTTTTTAAAAAATATTTTCCTCTTCAATTTTGACTTACATAAACTGCATAATACATGTTATATAACTGTTATTTCAAGTATACTAGGTAGCAGTAATCGCGATAAGTTGCAATTTGTTCAGAGAATGTATCGCAATTTTTTCAACGTCGATTTATTCCAAAACTATTGGATGAAAAATTGAGAGGAATTGTGATTCTATGGCATGAATTAGCAGTAAAATCGCAATTTTCAACGGCGATTCTTCTCAGCACTATCGAACAAAAATCGTGATCAAATGAGATTAGTTCGATTTTATCTAACGCAATTTATTTTTAGAGATACATTTGCGACAAGATTGACGATAGTCGCACAGACACTGATGATTCTAGTGTATTTATCGCCAAAAATTGTGAAAAAATCCCAAAATATTTCAAAATATTGCGATTTTTTTTTGTCCCAAAATGCTACTTAGGGATTGGCGAAGACACAATTTCGCATAACATTTTTAAATTTTCTACGTACACTCCTTTAGCCTCATCTTCTCCCAGCGGAGAGGGGAGCAGAACCTTACAATTTTCGTATGCGTCACAGAAAACTGCATCAAACGAATTTGTATATTTGTGATTATGCATCGCATTCTGTCAAACGCGAGGTAAGTAGGAATGTACTTATCATTACGTGTTCACAAAAAGTGTCCCTTGTATTTTTTTGTGACCACTGACATGAGGTGCGTAAAGCAGAGGCGATTTAAATTGGAGGCAAGTTTTCATACGAATTGTCTCATAAATTATTTTTGCTCTAGAATTTCAAGGTTTCAATGTCTCTATACTTCCAGCCGTTCAGGAAATTGTCAAGTTTATATGTAAACCCCACTTAAGTTTTACTTTTAACGTCTAAACATTGCCAGAGGGAGAGGGGATAGTCGAAAAATCAAAAAGGGAAAAGTAAAAGAAAGGCGTAGACACGCTTGTCGAATATTTTTTCAAATTTCTAAAAGAAAGAAAGAAAAATACTGGATCAAACCCATTTTCCCATGACCATGGTCATCATTTTTTTAGTTAAGAGATTTGCGTCATCAAGGCAGTTTTGTGAAATTCTGTCTCCATGTAGATTGAATTGACTCTTTTTTTATTTAAGCATCTTAGTATGATCGAATTTTCTTGATGCATATGTGTTCGCTTGATTTCACGATCATATTCATTGGCGGCGATTCTAACCTCATCATGATCTCTCGGTCTTTATCCCCGACAAACTCAAGGTGAACAAAGTATCCTAACGTTTGACATCTTGACATTTGTCAGTCGGTTTTTGAACCCTCTAATACCTTGACTGTTGAAATTATTGCAAAACCTTCTTAGTGCGAAGGAAATTGATAGAATGGTAAAAAAATGTCTAGACGATTTCGCCTTGTTTATATTGAGCTGTTATTCTGTCAACCTTTGTAATTATAATTAGGGACCATGGCTCCATGCTCACTTTGACCGAAGAAAGTTTACAGTTGATTGATTGTGCTCATTTGATTTAACGTTCGAAGAGGTACCTGGATTGCCTTGTCACTTGTCGCGCTAGATGGTGAGGACTGCGCAACCTAATAACTACCAACACAGTGAGAGCATACTTATATTTCTAGAAGTTCTTTATTTTATTTTACCGATGGGAGATCTGAGGCAAAAATGCCAAAAAGGAGCGGTACGTAATTTATGAACGCTCCCTGTACAGATAACGTCAAAATATTCTAGCTGTCTAATTTTTTTTCTTCTTTTTTCTTTTTTTTCACAGACTTAGTGACTGAAAATGTTTTAATGTGTATTATAAAATTTTCGTTCCGCGAATCACCAATATTTCAACAGACTGTCGACAGGAGTGGACTGGCTTCAAATATTCAGGCGGGTGGGTTCCTTCAAGAGTCGATTTGGGGGCCCCTTTTTTAAACGGGGTTTGGGGGCTCTCCCCCAGAAAATATTGAAACACCCCACTTCATTCACATTTTGAGCTACATGTTTGAAGAAAACCAAACACAATAAAATGGGCTACTACGGCTAAGAAACAAACAAAATGATATGCCACAAATGTTATTTTTTAGTAAATGATTAAAAAAAGCAAACGGCCCGTACCTACTTTCGGAGTAATAAATGAATAAAAATCAGCGCCATTCCATCCTCGTCAAAATTTTTAAAGTTAGGCAGTATCCATAAGATTCATCGTACTAAGTTCAAGTTCTAAGTATCATTTTTAGTTGGTTAGTTTTTCTTTCTTTAAACGGATTTTGTATTTAATAACAACAATTATTCACGTTTTTAATGGGTGAAAATAGTAAAATTAAATTCAGACGAGTGATTTTCGTTTTTTTTTTTTTTTTTTTTTTTTTTTTTTTTTTTTTTTTTTCATAATTTAATATTCCACTCTGAATTTGTTTTAGGGCCTACAAAAAAGAAAACAGATGAAAATACAACAGTACAACTGCTTACGGCAGGATGGTTAGGAGAGGAGAGGGGGCAGAAGAACATATATCGTCAATGGAGGTCTAAATGACACTTACAAACACTTCGTTAAGGGAGCTTTGTGGGTTCCTTCTTCCTACAAATAAGGGTTTATGGGATTTCCCTCGGGAAACTTTGAAAACTTGAGCCGACTCAGGAATCTGTTCTAAACTTTAAAACTAAAATTTTTTGTACAGGTATTTCCAATGCAGTGCTTTAATTATCATTCACTAAATCTTGTGGGTTCACATCCATTTCTACTCGTCTTAAACGTGTCCAATAGTCCAATACGGCCCGCCACTGCCTTGAAATTGCATACTCATTATTTTTTGGGCGATTTTACACTCGAAAGAAGTTATTCTTCATAACAACACGACCCAATGATTATCCATTTGAAAAGTTAAATGCGAACGATTAAAGCTCTACAGTCTACAAGTGCATGCTTTTTGCGAATTGGTTAGCCTTGCGCGTTTTCTCCTAGTCTCATAGTCGTGTTTTGATGGTGACATCTCATATATAGAAATGAACATTAGCAGGTGTAGTGAAACCAAGATATCGAGTTAATGCAAGGCGCAATTTGTTTATTGTAACTGTTTCCGGCTGGGACTCAATCTTTTTGGTAACATCCACATTCACCATTAATTTACGATAGTTTGTTCACTGCAACTAAACAATTAACCACTACAGTTATATGTAGCTTCTATATCAAGTAATTGGACCCAACTTAGCATCCGTTGTAACTACAAAAGCTTTCATTCCATTATATTGGTATCTATTTGGCCACCAAGAATCCACCTCTAATATTAAAGGAGGTATCCCACTTTGAAACACAGTAGATGGTGTCATTCGTCGGAAAGGTCAATTCCATTATTTCTTGCATCCAAGTGATGTATGCGAAGCAACAAGTGAAAATGTGACTTACACCGATGATGTGTACTTGACCTGAGGACCTCAAAACGACCTCGACACAATATGAAAACCTTTTGAGTCTGTGCATGCGCGTAAACGTTTATTCCCAGTAAAAAAATATAATTTTCTTTTACCGTTTATATTTACTTGTCAACATAATTGTTGTTGAGATCCGATAATTTATGAAACGAGCTCAGGAATCCCTGCGTAGAGAAAACTCGGCAAGTTGGATATTGAACCAATTCGTCACACGAAGTTTTGCACCTTCTCATCAGTGTCCTTCCGCAATCCACAAGGAGCCTCTCTTGATGGAGATGTTGCATGTATGAGGGATTTGCGATTTGACAATTGATTCTGATGTAAAAGTTCGCGAGAAACACGACGGTGCCACTAGTTTCCTCTGAAATCAACTCTCAAGCCCAAAAAAAGCTCTCAAGTTGAGGCCAAAATGGAGGGGATATCCCACGCTATCCTAATAGTCCACCTCTACATTAAGACCAACTCTCCATGCAAAGATAGGGAGAAAATACATTGACAGGGCTGCCATTTTATTTGAGGACTCTAAATCTGAAAACACGGCAACCTTGCTCCCTATCTTTGCATGGAAAGTTTGTTTTGATGTAAAAGTGGACTCTCAGGATAGCGTGGGATATCTCCTCCATTTTGGCCTCAACTTGAGAGCTTTTTTTGAGCTTGGGAGTTAATTTCAGAGAAAACCAGTGGCACCATCGTGTTTTTTGCGAACTTTTACGTAAGAATCAGTAGTCAAATCGCAAATTCCTCACACAAGCAACATCTCCATTCTGGAAACAGGTGAAAGTCTGATGGAGATCTAGGGTGCATTCCGGGGTTTAAATTGATCAGCGTTAAGTGCACTTGATGACATCTCATTGAACGTTCCATTATGTGTAAATCACTTACCACGTAAAATTCTGAAAACAGGACATGCAGCTCGGTGCTTTTATTCAGACCTTTTCTGATGTTCAATCTCATACGAATGCGAAAAACGAAAAGCTCCTTCATTTCCCTGTGATACCAGAAAACTACAACTAAGCTCGAATAGTTGTGGATTCGAGTTCCAATTTCCATTATGGTTGTCGTCTATATAAAGGTATGGGGATTCGTTAATTGCCGACCTTGGTCTGATGGCTCCTTCTCGTGGACTACACTGAATAATTAAAAAGTATGGTAAATTTGATCAAGAGTATGGTAAATTCAAGCGTATTGCCAAGTTTGTCTTCCAATTTTAACAGATTGAGATAGTATCTTGCAACAACCAAGTCCATAACGGCATACACCGCGGTGGTGCATACCATGGCTTCTCCTACCCTGGATTTATCAATCGATGACGCACTCATTCGCACTGGTTGCCCGCGTTGAATATGGATGAAAGCAAAGTGGAAGGAACCACAGTACGCACTACGGGTGACGTCATACACCCTGTTTTTCGACGAGCGATACCTCCGTAAGAATGTACGTGGAAACTTGGTGCTTGTTCTGATCTTACTATTTTTTCGCTCATCTTTAAGCGTTAACCATTATGACGCGAATCCGCGAATGACAGAACTGACCTATTTAGTAACGAATCAATGAGTATAGGTGGAGGTAAAATATTTGGTAAAATGCACACTTTCGATTTTCGGGCTTAATTCTACATGGTATTAGGTACGGCAACGCTGGCAGAACTGCTGAGACTGCAGCTTGATGTCTCAATGTTGTCTTCAATTTAACCCTGAATCTTCTCACGAATCGTTTGTTCTGGAATGAAATTCTATCTCTCATCGTGGTTTTCCTTCAGTTTGCCGCGACAATCACAGGATATCCCTCTCAAATTTAATCCTTTTCCTTAGGTTATATTTTTATATCACTCATCCTGTTGAAAAAACTGGATGTGCAGAAAGGTTCAGCTTTATTTTATACCTCAGTTGGCTGGTGCTTTTAGGGTTTCCATTTTTTTTTCCAAAAATTGACACGCTATCAATATTTGATTAAAACTTTCGGTGCTATAAAGCGTGGTTGAGGAACTTCCATTTTTCGTCTTTAGAATGGTACATAAAAGCACATATTTAAAGAAGACATTGTTTCAGGTCTATTTTTTTTTTGTATACACGCTCGTATAAATATTGAGGTACTAAAAGAATACCAAAAATTTGCCATTTTTTGCGAAAAGACAAAAAATCGCGGGCCAGTTAACCTAACAAACAGGGGTTAAACTTTCCCGCACATCCGGTAGTTGATAAACCTTACAGATTGGACCTTGAAGTGCTGAAAAAGATGGTTAGGGATGGGAGGGTTCGAGATATTTACAATTCGACGTTTAGGGGGCAGAAAATGGCCGTAGATGGGTCAAGCCCTTTAAGAAAACAAACGGCAATGCTGTGATTGGAGGCTGTGTCCGAAATACGTGCGGCCACCAGACGTCTCAGCCACGTGACTCACAGTTCCTGACGAAAAACGTTCTTTGCACGCCGTGCTTTCGATGTGATACCCATCACTGAATTTTTCATCTCAGTTTTCACGTTACCTAAAATACTTTTTACTTAAAATTATCCATCAAATTGAAACATTTTAGTGATAAAAGTGATATGCTTTGTTCACAGATGAGCTAATGAGCTTTCGTGTATAATGGTGTTATCGTGAGTATCTATCCATTCCTATTACCCATACCAATTTTACAAGTGTATAAGAGTATTCAGAGGGGAATTTGGTCAGTGAGCTCAAATACAAGTTCTAGTAGTTACAAGTAAATATTTTTGGCGCTCTGTGACACCCAGCCATAAAGTTTAGTTCAAAGTATAGTTTAATTTGCTTGCTACATATCTATAGCCTACCTAGGTATTTCCTCACATTGTTGAGAGAAAGGCGCCTAATAAAGGTGTCTACACTGACGCAAACAATTTTTAATAGTAGTTATGAGACATTTGTGGAACATGATCAGTGATGTTTGAATTGTCCTAAAAATATTCAAACCTTTGGTAGAGGTACCTAGTAGTGAAACGACAAGAGGAGTAAGACGCCATCAAAACGGGCACTGTATTCATTTTCCAATTTCGATAAGCGGCTTCTTGAGTTTAAGTGCGCTCTTCATATGTCATTGAACTATCAAAATCACCTACATAATCCCGCTTCATTGAAATTTTAACTTTTATGTCTACTTTACCTCCAAACACCCTAAAAGAGTAAGAAACACGCTCCAGTCATTCTTTAAGAACTTAGCATGCAATTTGAAAACTGGAAGAAGACTGATATCGCTCAAGGGTTTTTGTTTCGAAAATAAGGAAACCACATCAGACGAAAGGATTAATATGCCTTGAAACCTCTTCAATTTTCTATTACAGGTTTTGCTGCCGTTTTACCGAAATCTTGCACTCGACGTAATGGGTCAGTTGCGCTGGTCACAAAATCATGTTTTGATCTTGTTTCTTGTAGATCATTTAAAAGTATTAATGTTCGTCTAAACAGCAACTTTCTACGCTAATTACTAACCGAGATGTCACGCTTTGAAAAATTGGGTTTACGGCGTCATCTACCGCGGTTGTGGCGCCTTTGGTTTCTTCCTACCTTGCTTCCATCAGTCATCGGGTAAACACACATTTGCACTGGTTACTCAACGTGAAACTCGGATGAAAGCAAGGTGGAAGAAACCAGGGGCGCCATTACAGCGGTGGATGACGTCAAAAACCCGCCTTTTCAAAGCGCGATATCTCGGTCAATATTGAACATAGAGAGTTGTTGTTTGGCCAGATCTTATTATTTTTAGGTAATCTACAAGAATCAAGCATCAGAACCCTATTCCGTGACCACACTGGGAAAAAAAGAATCTTAAATTTGCCGCCAAGAAGTATTTTTTCTTAAATCAAGACTTTTGCTGCTTAATATAAACTACTTTTTGCTTAACCCAAGCATTTTTTTTCTTGTATCAAGAAAAAATCAGCTTAAATCAAGATTAAGAAAATTCTTGGCGGCAAATTCAAGAATCTCCATGCTTGAGCCAAGCACCTTTTATTTCAGTGCAGCGTGACTGACCCATTACATTTTCAAAATTTTTTAGCCCGGTGACGTCATGGATCCTGCATCTCGCCTTCCTCACTTTTTGCGCATCTCTGGTCCAGTGGTTAATCCGTTACGTCCAGCATTTGCGAAGGTTACCGCCTGGCCCTTATGGGCTTCCAGTCATTGGATACCTGCCTTGGATTGACCCCAAGAAGCCTCATATTACCCTCACAAATTTGGTGTCTAAGTACGGAAAAATATACTCTCTGAAATTCGGTAATTTGACAACTATCGTGCTCGCTGACCCGGTGCTAATCAGGGAGGCTTTCAGAAAGGACGTCTTCTCCGGCAGAGCAGATTTATACGTCACTCATGGTATTATGGAAGGCTATGGTGAGTGAGCAATGTTGATCGCACCTAGTGTATACAGGGCTGGATTGAGGGGATGGCCACATGGACCGCGGTCCATGGCGGCAAATTTAAGGGGCGGCAAATTTTTCAATTTTTTAATGTAGGTATCAAAAGTAGGGGGAAAAAATCGGATTCAGAAAATAAATTACAAACGAGAAAAGGCGACAGAATCTCTGAATTCTCAGAATCTCAGAATTTCCTGAGGGTAAAAGTATAGTAATTTCTAATTTTGTCGTCTTTCGGTGATACAAGAGACAACGCCTCTAATTAGCCAAGTCAAGAGAGAAACCAAACACGAAACCTAGAACGGAGCGGCGAGGGGGTCGGCATGAAACGCATAGCGCCTACAAGACTTCATGAATACTTCACGCATTGCGTCAACCACAGTGCGGTCAGCAGCTGCGGTCGGCGTGAAGCGCATAGCGCCTACAAGACTGCATCAATACTTCACGCATTGCGTCAAACACAGTGCGTTCAGAAGCGGTCGGTGTGAAACGCACTACGCCTATTTGAGTGAAGGAATGCTTCACGCATTACGTCAAACATAGTGCGCTCAGTTTGTTCTTTCATAATTTTTTTGTTCATTTCTTATAAACGGAAGGCCTTGTTCACACAGAGATAGGTTCACAAAATGTGTTCAACACAAGTAAACGCGTCTTATGCACCCCTCTCCGCTGCAAGTTCACTTGATGGTTTTTATTGATGTTTCAAAACGAATGGGAAGGGGGCGGCAAAATACAGGCGGCCCACGGGCGGCAAGTAGGTGAATCCGGCCCTGAGTGTACATAGTGTATAAATAGAAAAAATAAATCTTTCTCACCAATTTCAATTCTTGTACTGTTGCGCAGCATGTCCTGAATGAAATAAGCAGTATTGTCCTGGCATCGATTACGGCCATAAGCAGCTGTGCCCTAATGGATTTTTTATTGGCAGTGTATACCTAGTATATCCTGGAAGGGATTGAAACCACCCCGATACGTCCAAAGCTTTTGGTTTTGTTTTTTTTGGCCTTGGTTAACAATTTTCTTCGTGTTTTTTAATTTGCATAGTGTACCCCAGTTTGAGAAACTTAGATCGAATGTCGAAACCCTAACATCTCAAAATTTAATGGCATTTACTCTATTACTTCTAAGATATGTACAGCCTTTCTCAGACTTCCGAAAGTGTAATGGTTAAACTTAGTTTCTGCTTGTTTTATATTCATTAAAACTGATGCGCTACTACTCTTTTTTTTTATTTATTATTACTAAAGGCTTAATCGTGCCCGAAGGAGAAAGATGGAAGGAGCAGCGGCAGTTTGCAGTATCTACACTGAGAGATTTAGGCATGGTGAAGTTCGGTGCAAAAAGAAGTCATATGGAACAAAGGATAATGAAAGGCGTGCAGGCCTTATTTCGGGTGCGTTTTACTTGCCACAATACATTTCTAACTTCTGAGTAAGAATCTGACAGTCATTTCATATCATTAGTGAGTCCATACCGATAGTCAGTTCATACCAATTTCGTGGTACTTACAAAAATTTTGTTCATTCTCTAAAGACTGATTCCTTTTCCCCCTTCCTCTGTTGATTTATCAGTTGTATCAGTCTACTTTTCATACACTGCGTGTATGTGTTGAAGTAAAAGTCAGGGAGTAATTTTTTCCATGAGATGGAACGTGCTAATTTTGCAGACTTTCATATTGTATAGTTAACAAACTTAAATAAAATGGTTTTTGAAGGAAAGGTTTATTGTTGTTTTCCAGTCCCTAGATGCCTTCGGAGGGAGTGATGTGGACCTGACTCACCCTCTCTTTCATTCGGTAGGCACAGTGATGTATTCTCTAGTTTTGGGCAAAACTTGGGACCATGACGATCCGATGTGGATTTGGCTTCGGGAGAAAATGGAAGAAGGAGTCCAAATGATGCAGGTCGCAGGTCCTATCAATTTTCTCCCTTGGTTGAGGTCAGTGTCTTTTGAATGTTATGAACTCCTTTCAAACATTTGTGGGATAGAACCTCTCCTATAGTATATTATACATATATGTCAAAATGCTCAGTGGGTTTCATAACATTTTTGTGTGCATTGTTTAAGTGGTGAATAAACCTAGTAACGCTCAGTAAAATAGACTGAATTATCTAAGGACCAAATGTCATTCAATATAATTTCGAACTCAGTGGTTCAAACCAAAACAAATAATATAACTTCATGTACAATTTTTGTGTGATTTAATCATGTTTTTCATTACAATTCAGACATTAATAAGCCATAAATAAATTAGGAACTCATTAAACACGAGGAATTGCGTTTAAAAGAAACAACTTAACCACCTCCATACACGACCAAAAGGCAAACCATTAATAAAATTTAACTTGCCACAATTCTAACTAAAGTTATTATCGTGTCCAGTAAAAATACCTCGACAGGGGCCGTCTGACTATATGACTTGAATGTATAATAAATTATACATTGGGACTGATACCACTATTCGACCACATGGGTGCTGAAGCTGCCTACAGTGAAAATTGAAGGCGAACTAACATGACGTTAATTTAATGTAATCCTTTCTCGTCAAGGCAATAAGTGTGTCGTCCGGAGTGAGCGCGCCATTTCCCTCGTGTTGCCTACACTGAAATTGAAGGCAAACTGACATGGCTTTAATTTAATCTTTTCCCTCTCCGTAGAATGCTAGGTTCTATCCCTCCTCCACATATAGGTATGCAATTTCACGACAACACCACCTTTTCACGTCAGTCTCATTTCTTTTTTTCTTCTCCCCCCCCCCTCTATATCATATCCTTCTTCTTTCTCATTTCTGTTTTCGCATTTCTTCTTTTCCTTTTTCTTTTTTATCTTCTTTATTTGTATTTTCTTCCTTTCTTCCTAATGTCAATCAGTCACAATAGAAACTTAATGGAACCTCCCTAAGGAAAAGGAGCCTGGTAAAGAACGACCGTGGACACAGCCCTTTATTTATCGATTATTTGCAGATTCATACCGAAGTTCAGGAAGATGATCGAGTTCCTGATCAGTGGAAAGAAAAAGGAGCACGCACTCTACGAGCAATTTTTCAAGGAGAATCAGGGAATCCTCGGTGAGGCGGACAGCCTTGCGACTGCTTACAGGCTGGAAATGGAGAGGCGGCAGGACTCCCCGCAGGGGTCCCACTCTTTCGTAAGGGAGCAATGTGACCACTTTCTGGCCGATCTCCTTGGCGCTGGAACTGACACTACTTGCACCTCCATCAAGTGGTTCCTCTTGCTACTTGTGATCCATCCCCAAGTTCAGGTACCTATATCTTTTAAAATAAGAAAATATCCAGTCCTCTGCCGAGGCCAAGTGTTACAAGTGTCACTTGGGCTGTTGTAAACTTTTACCAGGGTTTAAAAGAATAGTCTGCTGCAAACAAGAGGTATACTCACGCATGAGGACTTTCTCTGCGTAAATTAAACAAAAGTATAATGATGAGCATATCAATGAAATCTGAAATCTACTCTTAAGCGAGCAATTTGTGTAGTTTGTGAACCGTTTTTCACCTACATGGTTGATGTTTAACAACGTGTTGTCAGTTTTGTTTTGCAAACAAGCCAAAGTTTAGGAAACTTGTTTGGCTCATGACGATACCCGAAGCTCATCGTCCAACATGTAGGATTGTAGGTAGGTCAACAGTCGAAAATCGAGTGATGACTGTTGTTCCTATATAATTGTTCATGAGGAAGTGTTGAATCCCCGAAAGTAAAAGCTTCCATCTGTCGCCAAGACACCAATAGTCTCTTGTCTTTGAATGTATGTGAATGATTTGTTCGGAAACAGGCAGAGATCCAGGAGGAATTGGAGCAACTGGAATGTGTGGACGGATTGATCGGGCTCGAGGGGATGGAGGATGCTGTGCTGCTGCGAGCTGCGTTCGCTGAGTCAATGCGTCTCCGTCCCCTGACGACCCTCGGGATACCCCACGCGACGAGGGCCGCCACGGACCTGGCCCAATTCCACATCCCCGAGAGAAGCATGGTTATACCCCTCCTCTGGGCCATCAACATGGACCCCCAACTTTGGACCGATCCCCTGGAATACCGCCCAAGGCGCTTCATCGACGAGAACGGTAGATTCGCCAAGCCCGACCACTTCATGCCCTTCCAAGTCGGTAAGTTCTCATCCGGGCGATTGAACAGAAAAAAATTTCAGGGGTTATCTCCTAAAATTGTGGCACGATCCAAATTTCTTGGATGATTTAGACATTTCCAATCAATGAAGATGTTACCTGTGTGAGGAATTTGCGACTTGACTGTTGATTCTTATGTAAAGTTCACGAGAAACACGATGGCGCCACTGGTTTTCTCTGAAATTAACACCCGAGCTCAAAAAAAGCTCTCAAGTTGAGGGCAAAATGGAGGGGATATCCCACGCTATCCTGAGAGTCCACCTCTACATTAAGACCAACTCTCCATGCAAAGATAGGGAGAAAATACATTGACAGGGCTGCCATTTTATTTGAGGACTCTAAATCTGAAAACACGGCAACCTTGCTCCCTATCTTTGCATGGAAAGTTTGTTTTGATGTAAAAGTGGACTCTCAGGATAGCGTGGGATATCTCCTCCATTTTGGCCTCAACTTGAGAGCCATTTGTGAGCTTGGGAAATGATTTCAGAGAAAACCAGTGGCACCATCGTGTTTCTCGCAAACTTTCACACAAGGATCAACAGTCAAATCGCAAATTCCTCACACATGCAACATCTCAATTGTGATAGTACTGCAACATTTGAGTCAGTAACCTAATTTATTGGGGCACTACCACAATTAATTGGAAATGTCCAAGTTCGGACTTAACTCCTGCCAGTCTTTTCCGTGGTCTCTCTCACCTTGACGTCTGTGTGATAGTAGTTGATCGACAGGCAAAATTTGAAAATGCAGGACAATTCAAGATTACTTAGAACGTTTTATCTAAAGTCCTCCGGATATTGTTGACCGAAAAAATTAAGGAAAAGTGATAAAACAAAAACTTGGGCATAAAATCCGGCTCGTGAGGTTGGAAGCTATACTGGCCTATCGATCAATACACCAATGGGCCAGTTGCGCTGGTCACAGAATCGTGTTTTAATGCTTGATTCTTGTATATTAGCTAAAAATAATAAGATCTGTTCTAACAGCAACTTTCTACGTTGAATATTAACAGAGATATCGCGCCTTGAAAAACTCGATTTATGACGTCACCCACTGTGGTAATGTATACGATGCTATGCACTACCGCGGTGGGTGACGTCAAAACACCAATTTTCATAGGACGATATCTCTGTTAATATAACATAGAAAGTTGCTGTTTGGAAAGATATTACTATATTTAGCTATTCTACAAGAATAAAGCATCAAAACACGATTCTGTGACCAGCGCACCTGGCCAAATTAAGAATAATTAAACTTCAACTGTTCAAAAATACAAATATGTACAGTCCTGATTTCTAAATCATGTTTGATGGAATTAAGAGGTAATGAGCGCTGCGTGTGTTCGTGTGAAGAGCTGAACCAATACTGAACCATTTGTCGCATTATCGTGAGGCCCTTCGGTTTTGACCTACTGAAGTTTTCAAAATTGGGACCCTCATCCGCATGAATTTTTCTACATTACACAAAATATAAATTTTTCTCTGCCTCATCGCATTTTTCTGAATGCTAAAATTGTGACTTAACTTTTTTTCAATTGTTGCAGGTAAAAGAATGTGTCTAGGTGACGAGCTGGCAAGGATGATGACCTTCCTCTTTTGTGCGAATGTTTTGCACAGGTACAAAATAACTTCACCCAATACGCCAGAAGAACTTCAGAATGCACTCGACGGAGATTGTGGGCTCCTATACGTTCCGAAGAAGTATGTGCTAAATTTTCACATCCGGGAGCGAAATGTAGACAGATAAGAAAACGATGAAGACAGCATTTTTCCCTCGTAAACGAGTTGATAAAAATTGCCTTTATTCTAATGTCCTGATAAATTTGTACCTTTTTCTTTGAATACAAGAGAATTTTAAGTAAAGAAACATGTTTTCACTTATGTATTATCTCCGTCTAATAGTAAGTAAGCTCAATTTTGATTTGAGAACTAATTTAAGAGCAGATAGAGTAAATTCACGCTTTTTCTATTTTATTTTATGTTTATTTTTCTATTTTGGAGTCAAAACAAGCAGAATTCTCAACTCTGTTCCACTCAACTCTATTCCACATTCTCAGCTAGGGGCCAGAGGTGAGTTCGCGGGACGGAGGTGCGAATTCAAAATAATTTAAGGTCTTATACTCCCGCGGTTTTTTAGTATGTAAATATTTTTCTATGGCCACGATCAATTGACAGTTCAGGGATGGGATTCTCTGTTCACTTCCGTTTAAGTTATGTACATCAGTGGAAATCGGATATGACAAAATCGCCTATAACGGCATATTGGTTATAACGACCTGCGATGTGGTTAGTCCCGTGACTGAGATCCCATTTATTCAATGTACTGAAGCATCGGTTATAGCGACAATCGGATGAAACGACCCTTAGCCGGTCCCTAGAAGGTCGTTGTATCCGATTTCCACTGTAATAAATACATTCAGCTAATTTATTGAGTTTCTTTCCAAAAAATTCTCTCAGTTTTTCCGATGTGTGATCAGTTAAAAAAAGAAATATTGGTTTCAGATAAGTGAAAAAATTGATAAAAATTCTCGCCAATCAAACTTCAGTGAGATCTTCGATCTTTTATAAGATGAAGCATCTTTTTTCTTTTGAGATATTCCAGCCACATATTTCCCTCAATTCGACTTCTTTTTGTCAGCGTATGAGAGAAGAATGCACGGTTCTATAATTTCAGGTGCTCATTTTTAAAGTTAATCTCATTTTTTGCTGTTTTCAAGGTAAATGATGCTTTGTTGAGTTTGAGATTGAATGACCATTAAAAATACCATTAAATTAAACAAAAAGATCAAAGCACATGACGTTTTTGGTGCATAAAAATACATTATCATGGCCAGCTATCATCACCAGTTGGTTAGGTACACGCTGAGTTCACTGCATTTTGCACTTTGCAATCAGCTTTTCGTTCTACTAGGGAATGGATATTTTTTGCATTCCTTTCTTCCAGGATTTTTAAGGAAATATTATAATTCTTTACATTTAAACACCAAATTTTGAATTTACCGGTTTCGAGGAATACGGAAACAGTTTCTTGGAGGACCAACAAAAAACCTCCAACCTGGTTAATCCAAGCTCTCTAGTTAATAATGACGACAGACTGTAGAAGTTGAATAAGGTGAAAGGCAAAAACAAAAAAATTATTAAAACAATTTGATTGATTTCAATTCACATTTATTTTACGATTCTTTTTTTCTCTTTTTACTGAGTATTTTATCATTTTTTGGCAATGAATGCCAAAACACAAAACATAAGCGAATATTGGTGGAAATCACCCATCGCACAAAAACAAAACTAATTACTACAACATTTGAACATCACATTTACAGGTCTTACGAACTATTCATGTACAATAATCACAGTGTAATGAATATCGCATAATACATTCCTAGCAGCATGAAATCGCTCCTTCATTGAGAGCAACTTTGTATCACCGGGTGCGGTTGTATTAAAAAATGAAGCGGAGGTAATAAACTTAATGTATCGAAGGTGATACACTTAGATTTAGAGTTCATGTAGGTATATTGAAGGTGAATCTTTAACTCATTAACAATTGATGTTTACCGCAACTTCTTTCGGAAACTTTTTAGTGTCATCGTAAACAAATACATATGTTTATTAGTTGAGTTGCCGTTGAGGCTTGCGCTAGGGACGTAATCATGTAAGGCGCTATTTTCCTCTTTTGACAAAAAAATGATGATGAATTACAATCCTCATTAATGAGATTCAAATAACCAGTAAATTTGTAAACAAATCTCAAGGTGCTAGTTAAGGTTGTGTAGATTGCGCTTTTTACACACTAAAGACTTTAATCATGCAGGCTATACACGCATAACGCATGCATACATCCAGTGTGAAACATCATTCCGGCTAAATACAATTGTAATAATACTTTACGAGTATGCTCAATGTGAGTAAACATGGACAGTTTGGAATAGGACGTACGATATAAATCGCATGCAATGATTTTCCTATGTTAATGAACACATTTTTAAAAAAAGTATAACTAAGAATTAGAAATAAGAACGTGCGTTAGTTCATCGTTTAACATGAAAATAACGTACATAAAAGAGAGAAATCAGCAAATAAATCAACTAACGCAGATACAGCGTGAGGTTTCACACGTACACAGTTAAGCGGTTTCAGCATGAGCTTACTCAAATTCAGGCATCCCACTGAGGCTAGCGATGAATTACATCGGTCAGTATTTGCGAGCCGTTTATTATTAAGGCACATAATTTTAGGAATTAGATGGCACCTGAATCCTGCTATGGGTTATTTGTTTTTGATAACTCACTAGAGAAACGAATCTTGACTTCAGCTCAGGGAATAAATGCATTGAGTTTAACAGATAGGAAGTAAGTACATATATACACGTTCAGAAAAGCACCTCCTCGTCAAGGAAATCAAGGGTGGATATATTTAAAAAAAAAAAAAAAAAAAAAAAAAAAAAAAAAAAAAAAAAAAAAAAAAACCAGAAAATTAGACTTCCTTTTTCTTTAAACAGGTTTGAGTATAATGTTCGATCGCAGCGTCAGGAATGGGATGACCTGAAACTAGTTTCTTCCACACAGCCATGGCAATAATGAATTGAAAATATACACATGTATTTACAAGGTTTACCATTCACTTAAATATCTAATAAATTATCGTATACTGTATGGGCGGTGATTTTCAGCGATAATTTCGAAAGTGCTGTGCAAAAAGCTGGTTTTCTGTGCCACTCACAGTGCAAAATTATTCAGAAGGACACCTACGATTTGTATTTACTTTCAGGTGCAAAGATAAAAGTACTTTGACAGTGAGTTGTGAACAACCATAGTGGACATGTTATGAAATGTTTCTTCTCTAGTCATCACCTCTAATTTTTTTTTTCAACTCAAATCTTTTAAAATACACTTTTCAATTTTTGAACTTTTATTCCAAAACACAAAAGTAATTGAACATATCTTTTATTTTTTTTTGTTTTTTGTCAATAGTTTCTTTGTTTCGAGCGTCTGTTTACTGCGTTCCGTTAACATGACTTTGTGTGTCGTGGATCTAAGATAGATTCTCACCCCTAGGAACTTGAAACCTTAAGTGGAAACACCAATAGTGGCATCACAATTTAGTTAGTGACGTGGAACTAAACTTAAAGATAATTCATTTTCCCCAGTCCCTAATTGGTCAGTTGAACTTTTTAACGCACTGAGGACTTCGCACTAAATATCTCTCGCTTATATATTGGATCGAGTGTGCTTTCGCGTTTAATCTACAGCAAAGTCAATGGCAATGTGTAACACAAAGCGCAATTTTTATTGCTAACGATAAAGAGACGCTAATTTTCATCTGGAAACTTTTTGATGGGAAATGATACCATCGTCACTAATAAATATAGCCATGGTCGCTCAAGTAAGGTGCTGGGAAAAATTGCTCAACTGCCAAATTGAAATTGATCAGTTTTGGACGACATAAATTAAGAACAGTTATGAAATTACATAGAGCCGCACTAGGGATTACTTGAAATAATCAATCTTCAGTTCTCAACTCATTTTACCCACTTTCTGAAATTTACTTTTTGAGATGACAATTTGACAATTTTTTCCACAGCACGCGTGTCTTGAAACGTAATCTCATAACAATACGAGTGATAGGAAAACTCAAACCCTCTTAAACAATACATAAAAAAATATCGTTGAATTAAAACCGTTGGTAAAAACTTAATCCAAATGGTAATACATGAAGTTTTTAAAAGTTCAAATGGTACAGTCCGACGAAATTTCCAACGTCTCTATCAACAATCATTAAAATTGGTTACCCATATTTTTGACTTATCGTAAGGATCTTTACATCATGTACAACTTATTGGTATATTTCAGGAACTTTTTTTTGTAATTAACATAATTATACATAGAATATGCAACGCTGAACTACCTCATCGAAAGAAAATACGAATTTCTGAATTCTTGTTTTTTTTCAAAAGTCAATGGATTAATTAAAAAAGGAATAGAAGACACTGTCTCGTGTCTCGTCTCCTAAGTTTCTTTTTGATTATTTTGGAGTAATTTAGGTTCTCAGCCAGGGTTTGCTAAGAAACTCCAAAAAAATATGTTTTATTGTTGTGGGTCAATTGTCTTTAAAAGAGATTAATAGTATAACAATGAGCTTCTTTTGAAAAAACATAATGAAGCCGGAAATAGATTTTTTAAATAAAGAATATTTCATGGAAAATAATTCTCCGATTCTCTCTCGATAGGGAAATACGTGTCAACTGCATTTAAAATCTAACGACAACATGAGAAATAAATTAAATAAATTACTTATTTAAAAATACTGACTGCAAAAAATAATAAAACAGGACTTCGCTTAGTGAGAGCCAGTACTCCTAAAATGAGAGGGCTCGTCACTCATGAACTCGAAATCTCGGTTCTCCAGTGGCCTTTGAGTCAAGCAAACCTGGAACAAAAATTGATTATTCTCTATTAGAATCATAGAGCAACAGGGACTCACAATTTTTTGAAAGCGGCAATTTGAGAGAAAAATCAATGTGATGGAGATAATTGAAAGCCAGAGAAACAGTATGTGCGTTGAGATCATGATGAGTCGATCATACACTATCTTGAACCATTTTAGTCAAGCGCCGTAGCCAGCTCAAGTCTTATCCTGACCATTTCGATGCCTATAAGCAGTGGACATGAGTCCGTGTTCAACTCTCATGTCTCTGCCGTGTACCATTATTATGACCCTTTTTGTCTCTCTTTTATCTCCTAAATGCATGTAAATTTATTCAGATCGTTGTATTTTGTCCGGTAGCGCAAGTTCTTAAACTGAAAATGAGGTCAATTTTGTCGTTTTTGGCTCCGTCAATGCCGTATAGGATAGGCATCAAGCTTCTTGCTCCTTGGGCGTTTTAGGAAGAGGCAATCTCCGCCCCCTCACCCCCCCCCCCCAAAAAAAAAAAAAAAATAAAATCATCCCATTCATGAGGGTACCTCAGTCATTATATTTTTGCTAATACTAATTAAAATGCCTACAAGGAAAAGAAAGGAGAAGAAAACAGTAGCCACAGCCAGTGACCAAAAGAGCACTCTCACACACATGCTCTGGTCACATGTGGTCTTTCCGATACCGTGTCATTTGGTTATCACTATTTTGGTCAAACGCTTTGCTTTTACTCAGGTTTCTGTCATGTTACTCGCCTTCCCTCGTTTTCAGTAAGTACGAACATTAAAGAGGAAGGAGTAAGAAATAATTGTATCTTTACCTCAAAAGACTCAGGAGTAATGGTAACACCGGAAAAGCCTTTAAGATTAGGAAGTTCTTTGCCCTCAGGAACACTAATGTCAAATACGTGCAGCAAAGATGTGAAGTACAAAAATATCTCCATCTTTGCTAAAACCTCTCCCAGACACATTCTCCGCCCTGAAACACAAAAGCACATCACAAATTATGCAAGTGTCAATGCAACTTGTCACTTGTTTTTCTGAGTTTTTATTCGATAGTTGAGTTCTTTTATTTGCACTGGAAGCAACTATAAGTAGGCAGAGCAAGTAATAAAATCCGAGGTTTGTTAGATGCCAATTTATCAAGGTAGGCTCAGTATCAATTTCTCGTGGGTCGATTTTCCAAAAGTAGGTAGGCAGCTCTGTTGCCCAATCGAGCACATGCTATCTTTTTTTGGTGGTGGGGGAAAGGGGGGGACATATTTATATTCATTCGAATCTTGTAATTCATTATAGTAGACGTACTTCTACATTCCGTTCAAAATGTATGCGTCTATCTGGAAAAAAATCATTGGACTGTAAGTATTGTAGTATTGCAACTCATTTCAATTCACAATCAAATGAATCTTATTAACTACTTGCAGCGGCATTTTGTATGAGTTCTCATTTTTCCTTTTTTCTTAAAGTTACGAAGTAAGTGCGGTTGCTTGGTTTGTACCGAAGACCATATGAAAGTACGCGAGTGATTTTTGGGCACAATCACACTTAGGCAACCAAGGAAGGAAATAAGGAAATTTCCTCAATCACTTGGCAGCGGCGCGTGGCCTGCTGATTGAGTCAGTTCGATCGTCGCTCCAAGGCAAGTATTAGGAAAAGGTAGGTAGGTGGTCAGGTCGGTTATTCACAAGGAAATCATTAATTGAAAGAAACGTTGCAAAAGATTTCTTCTCTTTTTTAAGTCAAGCCGTTGGCACCGTCTTGACGACGCGGGTACGGCGCTGCGCGGTGCGACACGGTGGCTATCTCGCAGTGGTAGCGGCTTGTCACGATCTAAAAATCGATATAAGAGAGGAGCTGGACCACTCGACGAACTCCCTAAAAAGAAAGACAATGGCAACGCTCCGCCAGAACGGAGAGTCACCTTAATCTGTCCCATTGTCACTAAGACTATTGACGCATGGCAAATTCAGGGTAACCGTCGTTCAGAAACCCACGTTGCCACACTGCAAAGAGAGTAACATGTAGATGTGCTCCACCGAAAGCAACCATTCGTGACGGCAGCTCACTCCTAGATCCCTTATTTCCTCCAGATCTCTCAGTTGCTTCAATATCAAATCATAGGACGTTTTGACTCATACTGATCTTGAATTTCAGGTCATTTTGCGGATTCATTTGCTCTTAAAATTCCACTCTCCTACATGTAAGCCCCAAGAATAAATCCAGGTTTGGATGTTGAGAAATCAATAAATAGATGGACGGGTGAAGGGAGTTGGGCGGGGATTCGAAGCGCTGCATAAATGATGGTAAAACACTTACCAACTCCGAAAGGCAGGAAATACTCTGGTTTTGTGACTTTGCCCTCAGAGTTCAAGAATCGGGTCGGCATGAATTTTTCAGGAGACTCCCATAGGTCAGGATCCATGTGTACGGCGTGGAGCAACGGAACCACTTGGGTGTCTTTAGGAATTGTGTATCCATTGAGCTGCACATCTCTGTTGAATGAAACAAAGAGAAAAAGCGTTAAAGACGTCAAATAATTCGTTTCAACAGAAAGGGAGGATAACAGCAATGGAGAAGAAGTGTTGATTTCCAAAATATTTTTAGAGATTTGAGTTTATGAGGGCCCGGAGAGTAAAATTTACTGGATTTTCAACAAAAGTACTTTTCGTATAATCGTAAAGTTTTAATTTCACTACAGGTCTTGATAGTTTTCAGACAGGTTCTATAATCTCTCGCCAAATGCGAATTGTTGCTCTTTTCTACCCATGCGTTCAAGTCTCCAAAGTTACACTTGAATATTGTTTGTCAAACTGGCTCTTGTTTAGAGGACCCCACCATCATGACACGAGCCCTTGATACGGAGTTGATCTACTTTTTCGGACGAGGGTTTCTGGAGCTGTGAATTTCACCTTGAGAATCTGAAATCGGTGGAGGCTCACCTGGTAACTGCATGGGGCGTGCCAAGAGGGACAATGCTAGAACGGCGGAGAACCTCCAGGAGGGTGGACTCGGTGAAAGGAAGGAAAGGCAGATCTTGGAGGTTTGGAAGCCTGTGTCGGCCGACGACTTGGTCAAGCTCCTCTTGGACTTGCTTGGCGATCTCCGGGTGGTGCAGCATAAATACGACAGCCCATTGCAGCGTCGTCTTCACCGTCTCCATTCCCGCTGTAAATAGATCGCCGATGATCTGGTGCATCTGTCGGTTATGGTCCTGCGAAAAACACAGCAAATAAATAATCAGAGATAAAAATCATAGGAAAAGGCTAATGATTAATAGAGAAAAATCGATTATTTGCTGTTAAACTAAACTCTTAAACTCAATATGTTTTAGAAACCTCTTATCAACAATCCGAGCAATGAAATCGGGAGGAGCAAAGGCTAAGCTCGGAGGTCAACGCAATTTTTCGTCCAGAGATGATTCATGCGCAAATTGTTGAGCATAAAATTCGCCAAATAATAACTGATAAACATCGAGGTGCTGAGTACGGACATGCTGAGCTAAAACCAACTAGTTCAAGAAATGTCTTCCCAAAATGTCTAGCCCGCTCATTCTCTTCCAAAAACTTAACAGTAAAGTAAGGTGTATATTTTTCGAGTCTTTTCTTCGTTTGGAATTCCCAGTTTAGGATGTTTTAAGAGATCCTAGCGACGAAAGTTTAGAATTAAGTGCAACTTTATCCAATTAGAACAAGATTTTAAGGTCTAAAAAGTTGACATCCAGGGTGAAGAAGAGCTAATTTAAACTGACCTTGCCCTCAAAGAGCTCGTCGGTGCGACCTTCTTCTTCTGCCACCTCGATTTCTTGCAGGTAAGCATCTACAACATCCCTGATATTGCCGTTGTCGAAAGTTTTCCGGTGCTCTTGGACTATTTCTTCAAAAAATTGAGCCATCTCAGCTCGGTTCTGCAACAAAAAAATCATCAGATTATCGATCATTTTACTAACCCAGAGATTGGCGTTATTTTAACGCACAACGAATAAAAACAGTTGTCACGTGAAATAATTTCACAACGTTGACTGAATTATTTCGCAGATTTGCGTGCGCTGTACCTACTTTTTTTTTCATTCCTACAGTACCCTGGCAGCGAAAGTAGGATGTACACCCCCGACCACCTTCTACACTTCCCTCCCCCCCCCAAGTGTTTCGCGCCTGGGGCGTTAAGCACTACGCGTTACTCTAATGATTTTGTATTACATAGTATATGATATATAGCAGGCGTCAAAACCACCAATTAACGATTTAATAATGATTTACAATTTTCTTCTTTCGCCGTGGAGGCTCAAGGACGGCAAGGGAAATTGACTGTTTTTTCAGGAACTATCCATAATTGAAAGAATTATAGTTTGTAACTAATTAGAGCTAAGTAATCACATCAAGTCTCTCATTCCTCTGATTCAATACGTATCGGATAATTTTTGACAACCCCGTAACGTGCGTTTATACTTACAGCCTCAATCTTTTGCTTCGTTTTCTGTTGTCCCGGTAGATATCCAAGAATGGGGATGAAGTTGACGTACTGCATGACTCCACCAAAGAGTTTGAAGCCTTCCTCGATGAGGTGGGTGTAGCGCTGAAACCGGGGGTCGTTCAGATGGAATCGAATGTTCATGATAATGGAGCAGATGACGTTGCTCGCACTGAGGGCCAGGGGCGAGTTCAAGTCCAAAGGATTCCCTTCGCTGCGACATAAATTCCTCAAAAACACGTTAACCTCTCTCTGAAACACATCCAGACGAAATCACATTAGTTACGACCTCGGAAAATGACATATCACGTTGCGACTGACCAGCACCTCGGTTGCATCGAGGACCCATCGCCAAAAAGATACAGCAAGCGTGCGGAATGTAAAGAAACAGTTGAATTTTCGCCCGCATTGATTATTTTATCAATGCGTCGTGAAAAATCACTCAACAGGAAAGTTTGTCGAAAGGTTCAGAAAATTTTCCCCCAAAAATCAAGAGTTTGGCGGTTCTTTTTTCAATGTCTTGCCTCGATACTTCCATAAAATATAATTTTTCTCAATGTGTCTCTTTCTTTTCATTTCAATTGGTAAACATTTTAAATTCCAGATCATACATTGTCTTTGAGGTCCTCACAGAACTCGTGAGAATGGGAATATTACACGCGATTTTTGGGCTTCTGAAATTATTAATTGGTTAGGAGCTATAACCATTCCGTTATGTTCATTTGTAAACTAGATCCAGACGTGCTTTGACCACAGGTTAAACTGGTTAGGATCCCATCACAAATATTAAATATAATCTCAACTTACAGCAATGTGAATATTTTAGTTCCATCATTTAGACAATTATTACAAAAAAATATGAAAAGATGATTTAATTTATTCCTACACTGCGTTTTTCCATTTTGCCAAACCACAAGGAACTGGAACCCCCTAACCTAACCTAACCCTCCCGAATCATTAAAAATAATAATGGGAGGACTCCGCAATCAATGAACGAAGGAAGGTTCAGAGAAGCTGTTTCTCTCTGCCAACTTTCCAGTCGATATAGATTTCTAACATTCTAAGGATATGATGTATAAAATGTTCTCTATAATTTTCACCGAGGCTTTCCAGAATTGAGCAATGAAAATGTTACGCCTTTGAAAAATGAACAACAGCTCAAGTCTGAAACATGAGCCAGCGTGGCGATGAGGGCGTATGCAAAGGACATGAGCCTTGAGCCACTGATTGTGAGTCATGCATGCCTGGCTCTCGTTTTTTCGTTTTCTAGGTTTCCATCAAGAACCAACCTAACATAAGCAATCGATAGAGGTATATAAAAAGCAAGACCTATACGTCTTGAAAAAATATGAGACTCGTTTTCCATGATCCAACGATGAACTACAGTTTTTCAAAGGTACCTCTCTTCTCGACGCATAAGATAATTAAAACTTTTCATTTCGACGGGCCCTTGATTGTAGGTTTTATCTGATGCTATTTTTCAAACTAAGATTTTATGAAGTGAAAATTAGTTTCAAATTTTCAGATATTTCCCTTTATCAAGGATCCTATTCTTAAAAAGCAAGCACATGAATCATCGACACTGATTTAAATTCAAATATGGGTCCGGTTTGGTACGCAAGCGAGTTAAAATTATTGGACGAAAACGGCGACAGAAGAGCAGGTACGCTGCGCCGGCCGCAGGAGGACATCTTCGCGACCGATTTTCACATAAAATTCGGCAGCGCGTATTCAGAAACAGATGTCTCCTTCGCCAGATTCTGGTTTTTGGTCACCTGATCGTTTGACGTCACTCGATTTCTAAAGACTCCAAGTCACTTAAATGGAATCAGAGCTTAGGAACTCATCTAATGAGCTCCATGTGTTAGAATGGTAGGCAATTTGCAGGGCAAACAAAAGTTGAACTCATTTATGTTTTGCGATAAATTTAAAAAAAGGAGCCCCTTCAATCAGTGAATAGGCAACATATACGACACCCCGGTACAGAAATTTTATTAACCTTATAATCGCAATCGATGCTACATACTACTCAGGTCAGTGTTATTTCTAAAGCTCATTTTCAGCTGTTATTGGTTGGATGTTTGTTGCTTTTACGTGAAGGAAACTGAGTTAAATTGATCTCGGCAGACATAAATAAACGGTATAGAAATGGAGCAGCACTATACTCAATATTTCTCTGGTTAATCAATTTGGAGGCTTTATCTTTCATTGCGAGAGCAAGCCAGTATTCTGCAGCCATTTAACCTCTTCATTTCTGACAGGTTAAGTATGCTAATTGCGGTTATCCGCTTCAGTTCTGACATCAAAGATAGCAAAAATTTGACCTCGCTGATTATTTCTCCGGTGTCGATCAATGCATGGCAGCAATTTATCCGCAAATAATTCTCTCAGGAAACCTGAGTGCACCACCTCGTGAAGGAATCTAATAGTGCGCGTCGATGCACGTCGCCAAATTTGGATGATAATTTTTCGGTGCTACATTTTCATTGCGACAATATTATTCAAATGAGTCTCTTTTCGAAAAGACAGATCGATTTACCCATGTGCTAGAGTACTAAGAAGTAAGAAACCGGGGTTCCAAAAATTAAATTTTGAAATTGTTTTCTTCCGTTTGTTTCTATGTGTGCAACTTTCCCATCGTGAAAGCAGAATGGCTAGTTTACCACGTTATTACCACAGTATACCACAGTTATGCCACAGTTATACCACAGTTATACTACAGTTATACCACAGTGTTTTACCACATAAGCCCTTGCTGTTCAGGCAAATGCTACAACTTCACCATTGCTTTATTGCAAAGCCGGTTACAGAGTTTGCCGTTCATCCGTTATCTCATTATAAGTTAAAATTGATCATATCTTGTTATGTTAGTGCCGTAGGCATTTAAAAGTGTTAGGCAAACGAACAACCCTGGTGAGATTTCCTGTTGAATCATGCCCAAGCTTCCATGAGATCAGGTGGTTATTGTCACACTTCATCAGATTGTAAATTCTTCATCCATAGAAAAATTACATCCATACCTGAAAATTCTTGGAAATGAACTTGGAATGAAATTTCGGCATGTTCAAATAATTAGTAATTTGTTAACTTACCATAATCCTGAGTTGCATATTTTGCTTGCCTTTTCCCATGCAGGTCATTCCGAACGATCGAAGGTGCGAATGCAAGAATTTTCTTTGATTTTTCCACAGCCTTCCATCACAATTGATAACACCTGCAAAAAATATCAAAATCTTGAAATTTCTTGCATTGCCAATAATTCAAAGTTCAATTGTAAAAGCTGGAAAAATAATGAATAAAAATTTATTGTATGAAGAACGTTCCCGCAGTCTTTCATTGACCCCAAAGGGACTGGGGGGGGGGGCTCCATATCAAAATGTTGAGTAACCATTCTATAAGGGCAAACATTAATTTTTTTAAAAATCATAAAACTAACTGAGCGAAGTTGTAATTTCTAACCCGAATTTTGCTAATTGATCTACACGTTTGAATCTTTAAGCCTTCCCGAGAAGATCCGCACGGTACATAAAAAGGTGGAGATGACGATGTTAGCATTGTTAGGTACGTCTGCAGATAAATTGGATAGCATCTCTCAATGAGAAACTAACATTTACGGCTCACAAAATCACCTACTTGCAAAAGGAAACTAATGGCATTATGTACTCTATTCCCAAAATGAGCAAACAATGGAGCTCTTAATTGCAAATTATAGTCCAATTGACAATATCATACTCAAATTTTATTTTGGTCCCATGACTGGGAACCAGCTGACGATGTTGAGTTGGGCAATGCATGCAAACTAATCGGACAATACATGCAAACTAATCGGGAAAATCTGTGGGCAAAGATAGGAGATCTGTCTTTACTTGTCCAGTCGAATGAATACACTTCAATGGATTCAGAAGCAATGTCGCGAATGCGAATCGGCCAGACAAAGTTGATTGACCTGACTTGGCGCGCAATGTTTAACCTATATTCTAATACTTCGATAAGGCGGCGCTTGAGTACGTACTTCTTCAATGCTGATATCGTTTATCAGAGCGGAGCCGAGAATAAGCAATAAAAACCCGATTCATTAGACCCACTAATTTTGTCCAACCACTATTCCGCTTATCTTGGGATGAATTTTGTCTTCTTCCTACTTAAGTCACTTAAGTTAAGTCTCTGTTCTCCAATGCACTCGAGTTCTAATAGACACTAGTGATACCTAAATGACAGTTTCGGGAATGATTAGAGAAGTTGAGTGAGTGTCAATATCCATTCCGTATCTGTAAAAATGAAAATGATTTCAGCCTAGAGTTACCGAAAATAAGATTTCTTTTCGCCATCGTCCTAGCGCTCATAAGCGCGGGATCGTCTTTTCTCGGGATAATTAAACTCTCGCCTAGTTCGGATATTCAAGTTTTTCTTTATCCGCGAGGCCCAGGCGATGGCACAAAGAGAGAGTTCCACTCAAATTGAACACCAAAGTTTTTCAGCTCGGCTGACAAAGATTTTTGGTCGCCGAAACCAGAATTTGGTCCAGATACGCGAAGTTTGGTTCCCATCACAAAATTGTCGGTTATCCAAACAGAAGAATTTTCGGTGTCTAACATAAACCGAGCCGGAACTAGACTTTCTCTCTGTAAATGAAACGATCGAAAATTGAATTCCACGTGCATTTGTTCCGTTAGGGGATACTGCGCTTTTGGCCGATAGTAAGCAAATGCAGCCTGACTAGTAGATTGTTTACATGGTAGGCATCACCAGTGGATATGCCTGACCCTGCTGGCTGTGAATATGGATTGCTGGGATTCCCACGTAATAACTAAAATCCATTACTCCTCACCTTATATCGCTTTTTACGTAACGCTGCCATCCGGTCTCTGCGCGGAATTTTGGCACTCATGATGGAAAGACCACACCCAGTGTGCGTCAAGCGCCAGTCTAAGAAATTATCACGAGTTTCACCGGAGACGTTCTTCATGACGAGGGTTTCAAAACACGATTATCCTCTGCATCATATGTAAAATTGCCTGTCGAGATGATAATAATATTTGAAGGATGAAGCGAATTTTGGTGGTTGGAGTGGCTCACCTGTAACTTTTTTGAGTGGACGCCTGGCGAAAGCGGATTGGCTCGGGGTCAAATTTTCGGGTGGATCTGAGGGCGGGCGGGCGGGCCGCGGCGGTGGAGAGCGCGGACGCCCCCGAGACGCACGAAGACGTCGGACGTCGGGGCGGCGCTAGCGGAGTCGGCAAAAAACACGGAGGATAGCATAAAAAACGGAGGTGTTTCGGATTAGACCAAGTCATCAGGGAGTCATGTGATCCGCAAGACAAGTTAGCAATGACCAACTAACTAATGAGTGATTGAGCCGATGCTGCCGAATCGCCAGGGATATCCCGGATTTCCCGTTGGACGTCGCCGATGTCGCGGCGTGATTTGACAACGGTGACGTCACAGCTCCTGCGCCGTTGCCGTCCGCCGGAGAGCTTCATCCGTCTGCGCCGCGCGCCGCTCGTTACGTAAAGCGCGAGCGCCGCCGTTTCGCGATCTCGCGCCTTGTCCAAGGAATCGCTCACCACCAGAGACAATATGTTTTAGAGACAGCACACAGACACACAGTGGATCGAATCGATAGGAGAGCTCGGACAAAATTTGGAAACTTGAAACGCTCTTGACTTCGTTCATACAAAACTTTGAGGTTACAAAAGTGGTTTCATTGGTTTCCTCGTAAAATTCTTCTCTGAAAACAGCCCTTGAAATTAAAAATACGCCGAATTAAACATCAGAATTTGCAGTTTTATTGAAAAAAATCATGTCCGACCTCTCTCGTTGACTCGCTCCACTGTGTGACGGTCTCAGTGCTGAGATTGGATGAGGCTAAAGCTTTGTAAGTTTCCAGATCAACGATATCTTTTGCCTGATAATGATTGATGAGCAACTTGATGAGCAACTTCGTCATATGATGACTGATGAATGTCGGGGTGGGCACTTTAATACGCGAGTTTGTGCGAATTAGATAAGGATTGCTAAATAGATTGCTCATATTTTTGGTCATGGGTCATCGTTAGGTGAATCAGAGCCTTGATTTCAAAGAGTGACTTTTACGCTGTTGAGAAGATAGCAGAGCGAGGTCTCTAAAATAAATTGTCTCTTCTCTCCTATTATTCAGTATTGCCACGTTTGAGGGACACGGGAAATGCTCTCCATTATCAAATACATCCGTGCTATATTATTTAACAAAAATCAAAATCAGCTATAGTAAAAATAGACCGAATAATTGAAAAATTTCAATATTGAGGCCAAAAGCTAGTTCTAGAAAATGTTAGACACCTCGAAGTATCGTCTAAAAAAAAAGAGAATGTCCACATTTCCTCGGATTGTATCAAGGCTTGAATCCAAAGTTGAGGGTCCTCTTTTATCATCGGTGAATTGAAAAATCGCCGATAGACTATCTATGAACCGGTAAGCACTATGATTTTCCTCAAATCTCTCAGAGAAAAATTTGAATTTCAGTATCATATACTTCATCATTATAATATTTTGCATTTTGAGCTGGAAGTAGGCAATTTTCCGTACTTGGAGAAATTTAAATTTCAAATTAATAAAGAACATCTCTGCATTGATCAAGGGGTGTCGATTTTTGCTATCCGAACCATCATGTTTCAGATTTTCTAGGAGGAGCGTTAATCATCTGAGATATCTAGCTGGAATCGGATTAGGAAATTGGAGCACATCCACTGAAAGGGAAGGTTAAAGAAGTAACGCCCTCCAGCATTTATCGTAATAAGTGTGTCATAAATCTTTTCGGGAAGGATCAGTAAATTTCGAAGCCTACAATTTTGAGAATGTTAATATGAATTCACAATCTGAAAGTGACCATCTAGTGCTCCCTATCGCACGTTTCATGAGTTGATTTCACTTTTTAACATTTCAAATTGGAGGAATTTTTTCACAAATGTAAATGATGACATTAATTGAGTGTTTTATCAATTGACGGTACCTTTGCATAACCGGTATGCGAATCCTGTGATTTCTTCGGAGACTTTAACGCCACCAGTGTCGATAGGGGTTTAAATGGATTCCATAATCGATAGACATCTCATAGTCATCAGCATCAGCATTCATGTAAAGGGGCTACTTTAAGCGTTCATAATCCCGGGAAATCCTCCTGATTTTCGTTAACATAAATGAAGTTCTGGAAAATGCCTGAATATGCTCAATGAAGAGATTTAGCATTCTGTGAGCGTCCACGGCCATAAATACTATAAGTCGGTTAATCGACCTATTCACGGATTTGTCGATCGATTCACGGAATTGTCGATTGATTCACTTGTTTTATCTACCGATTCACGGGTGAACGATACTCGGAGAGGGGCCACCACTACTGTATGTCATGTTGCCACCGGAATTGAATCTCGATTCATTTCATTAATGTAAACTGCCGCATACCGCTGACAGGTTTGCAGAATGAGCCGGGCGACCGGTCCCCGAATTTGACCGGGTAAAAGCCGGCTGATTAGCACACATTTTCCTCTCTCGCCCCCCCCCCCCCCCGCGCCCGCGCGTCCAACCACAGCACAGCCTGCACAGCTTCACTGATCCTGCTAATTTTAGCTTTGTCGAAACTGGATCGGTCGCTCACCGCATTTGCGGATCGTCCGGTCGCCTATCATCGGCACCGGCGTGGCGTGCTTTGCGATACATCGACTGATCTGCTATGTGAACCTACAGAAAAGAATCGATAAACAGGGTGCTTGCGACGAAAACCTGGATAATCGATTCTTTGCCATAGTTTTAAATGGGGGAATATCGATGGTCGATCATTCACGACTCTCCACTGATCATCGCCAACAGTCAAAAACCCCGGAACGGCGGCGCTAAGCCGCACGCGGCTCTTTAATCTGCTCCAACGATTTTCGTCGCCAATAAATCAGAATAAATTTCACGACCTTTCCCCGATCTGTCACCTCCTCGAACTTCTCCCAGTCGACATTCTTGTCATCTACCTGCGCTGAGAAAAAAAGTTCGGATATATCAACCGTAAGTACGATGTCGCATGCATATTGGCTGTGCTATTCGGTCCATATCATACTCTCAGTTCTAGGAATCATATCCTTGATTCATGCAACAAATCATTCAAACAAAACTAGCCCATAGAATGAGCTCACAACTGAGTGAGCTATGCAACACTGTACTCACGGTTCATATGACTGATCTTTATTTCTC